CTCTGCAGAGCTGCTCCTCTCTCAGCTCTCACTGCTCTCTCAGGCTGCAATTTGTCCTTGCCCAGCTGCTCTTCCTCCATCCCAAATCTGCCATCCCAGAGGTGCTGCCCTGCCCTGCCCTGCCCAGTGGTGGGTCTGTCCTGGAGCTGCTGGCCTGGGCTCTTTTTTCAAATGAAATTCAATGGTCTCAACTATTTAAAGTGGAAAAACAAAACCTGAAGGAATCTGAGCCTGCTTCATAAATAAAGATGTTCTTTTCTCTGGTTCCTTTTGTAAATTCCTTGCAGTGAAGCAGTGCCTAGTTAGCCAAGATATATCAATAAAAAACCCCCATGTCCCCATGCCTCTTAACTGTCATTTCCATATTAACAGACTTCATTGCCAGAATGAAAAGTATTAGAATAAATGCTCTGTGTTAGAGAGGCAAACTCCCCCCAGAGTTGATGACCATGCTCAGAGAGATTTCCTGGGGCTTCTAAGTGGGCACAGCTGTTAGCCCAGAAACTATGAGCTCACAGGAATTTGGTCAGGTGCTTTTAAAGGCCAGCTAAAACTGCTTGGAAGGTCAGGTTCTGCCCAGAGTTTGAGTTATCCCTGGCTTAGGTAATGGGTCTTTAATTACTGGATTGCCATTCTAGTTAAATTGCAAAAGTTACACTTTTTCCTGTTGCTAAAGCATTGTGGTGGTCTTTTACTGCAGTAGCTTCCTGTGCTTTACACATCAGCTCTAAACCTAATGAAGCCCTCAAACTTTGCCCTCCCTTTTTGGCAGTGTTTGCAGCAGCCCTGTCCCTGTCATAGCCAATTTTGGATGCTCTCAGTTTATCCTGAGGGGTCAATCCCATTTTGTACTGGCACTAATCACCGTGGATGCTCTCAGCTGAGATCTTTTCTTTTTGGAGAGGTTTGCACAGAAGCAGTGGTCTGTGCTGACATCTCATGGCCGCTCTGGGAACTTGGCTCTGTTTGGGAAGAACCTGTTCATTGCTGTGCCTGCAGCACTTGCAGGACAGCCAGACAATCCCGTGGGTTGGTGAAAGGCTTCAAGATCTTAAAGGTCTTCTCCAGCCTGTTCTGTGATTCTGTGCTAGTTTTTGTATGGTTGGAAGAGCAGGGGAAGCTGTCATGCTCACTACAGCCTTGCTCCTGGATTAAAGTTACTCCTTGCCATCTGGAGTTAAAATGTCAGATGTTGAAAAATATGCTAATCATCTTTAAAAACAAAATAAACACAAAACTTTCTTAAAGGTTACTATGCTGTTCTTAGGAGATATAGCCATGTCAATGATGGTTATGTTTTGATTTAGGTCAACCAGCAGAGTTTTTTAATACACTTGTGGCATAAATGTTGAAATTAATAGGTGGAGTTAATAAAATTGAATATCTGAGGATGCAAACAATAAAAGAAAAAAGTAGCTTTATATCCTGACTTATTTTCATGGTATGACAGACTGTCTAAGAATTGAACAATTGAACCTGACTTCAGGATTGGTCCAGAAAATCTAAGAGAAGTTCTGGATGAAACAATGTGCGACATTTTATTGTGGCTCTTAATTTTTACCCTCTCTCCATAATTACTTTTTTAAGGAAGTCAGGAAGCTGTGCTCCCAGTATGACTGAATTTTGATTGAATAAACTCCTAAAAGTACTGAATTTTGAAACTATGCAACAACTGTCAAAGCAGGAGAGACCAAATCTAGCCTCTCACATTTATCAGATTCAGTCTTCCTTTCCCAGTAACTGTGGCAGCATTATCCACACCAGAGCTATGAATAAATCTCTGCACAGTCTCTTCAGACACAGCTGTAATTCTCCCAAGCCCAATGACCAATACAGCATCTCCTGGAAAAAAATATTCTTAGCTGTAGTGCAGCCTTGACTTGCTAGACTTACTTGTTGGATGAGCAGTATTTGAGGATAATTCCTTCATCCCTGGACTGTGGTCCCAGGCAGATGAACAGCAGCTGGTTTGGATCTGCAGGATTAGAGGGAAAGAAGGAGGGGAGCTGTGCCATACCCCACTGTAACTGCAGTGGCATTGGCACTGAGATCTCTTGTTCTGTGCGACCAAGTTTCTCAGCCTACTGGTGAAGGAAAGCCATCCTTGTGATCTTACAGGAACCCTTCAGGTTCCATCAACACTGGGGACCAGGCACTGAATTTAGCATTTGCAAAACTGCCAGAAAGAAAGGGATATGGGGCTTGAGGAGGGCAGGTTTCCATCAGTTAATGAGTTACTGCTTACCAGCCAAGCTGTCACAATCAAATGCATTTATGCTCCCAAGCCACCTCCCATCACTCTTGGATGTTGAAATGCATTAATTCAGCACAGCGTCTCTCAGCCTGGTCCTATTCACACAATGGTTTAAGCTATTGGGTTAATATTTCATTTGGAGCAGACCAGAGCTGATGAGCAGTGAAGTATCAAAAAGAAGCACTTTGGTGGTAATCTGCTTGTTTGCCTCATTTCAAAGACAGCTGAAAGACACCTCGGTTGGGGTTGAAGGGATGGGAGGCAGCTCCCTGAAGGGCTTTTGGCTCATAATGTTGCCATTTTCATTTTTGCCAAGGACAAAGCCAACACTTGTCATGGAAGGCTGGGATCCTCTCAGTGTAATGCTCCCTAGGTGTGGAAAGGAATCTCTGTGCCAAGAGCTGAAGAGCATTTGCTAATGGCTTGTGCTTCTGGACAACACATCTGGCTGCTGGTGGGGCCAACATATTTCTCCATCCAACCTGGCCCCCTCAAATATTTATAAGCTAATGTTCTCTGTAATGCTTGTAGCATACAGAGAGGCTGAACCAAATTGCACTGTGGAGGAGTCTCTATTTTCACAGCCTTTTGGAACTGACTGCATCAGTGCTGTGAAAATCCTTTGGCATCATAAACCTTTTATTGCCACAGTTCCCACTTGAGTAGTATCACACAGTGAAACATTTAATTATGCAAAAAAATCCCACCAAAAAGCCAAACAAAAACACCCACCATAAAAAAGAATTTTATATCTGTCAAGCAACATCCGTAGAAGAAACAAAGTTTTTAGGACTTGCAATAAAAAGTCTTTTGAGTGGATAAAAAGTCTTTTGAGTTGTCTGTCTTTCTGTTTTTATGAACAGTAACTTCCAGGCCTGACACTTGGCAGCTGTATCTCCTTATCTGTGGCAAAATTCATGGATAACAAGACCTTTATTAGTTCCAAGGCGCTTCTGACAAAAGGGAGAAGTTCTACATAAGTGAACCTGTCAGTGGAAGGTGTGGTCACTAATCCAGCTGACCCACACCTTTGCTGGATGGGCTGACTAACAAAAAGGGGACAGTGCAGTGTCTTTAGGACCTGTTGTTTGTCACAGCAGTGTGCAGAGACACAGGACTAAGCCTGTGCAGGGAGCTCTGCTGGGCTGGCTTCCCTGAAAACAGGATTTGTTATTCCCCCTCAGGGGTCTCTGTGTGCGTAGGCAGGAAAATCAGCAATATAAATGAGAAAAAAGTCCCCTTCCCATACAGCTATCCAGTAGGAAAACCACTCTCCTGCTTCCAAGCCTCTCCTGGACACAGAGCTGTCCTTCAGAATCTCTGGGGCTCACTTTCCTGCATTCCTGCTCACCAGAAAGTCCTTTCCCTCCTCCTTGGCAATGGTGGCAGTGCATGGGGACCCTCTGTCACCATAACAACTGGGCTATTTGTCTTATAATTCAAACTGCTCTCTCTAAATTCAAGGGCTTCTTCCTACACACCATCCAGAGCCCATCAATCCTTCCCTGAGCAATTCTACATTCTTTATTGGACTAGTAACTCCCACACCCACTCCCTCTAAAGCTGCCTCTGCCATTTTATCTCCAAAGCCTGATGAACAATTTACTCACCCATTTGGAAAGAGAATTGAATTGGATACAGGAAAGCCTCAGTCTTTTCAAAGCCCTGTGATTAACCCTGTCCTCTTGGGTTGGCCTGGGGGAGCAGTGCCCCAAGGAGTCCAGAAAATAACCCCACTGTGTGAGAGCAAACCTCTCACACAGTAAATCCTCCTGTAACTCCAGATTCCTTTGGAATCTAGGTGACATGACAAGCATTAAAACACTAAAGACTTTTAGAAGGCAGCATGTCTCTCCAAAATAACAAGTGCTACCCCAAAATCTTACTTAGCTACTATCTTTCCGACACAGGACTAACAGAATCCATTTCTGTGCTTCACCCTCTCTAATGGCAGTGTTCCTACTCAACTGCCTCGAGCTGAATAACTGACTTTACTAACCCCCACCATGGCTCATTTAGAGATTGAATATTTTTCATCAGATTTGCTTTCATTCTATGTCAAGACTTCAGCCTGCACTGTCAGCTGCAACCCATACATATACTGCAAGTCAATACAAATATTTTCTACTAATTTGGAAATTAGGTTAAAACGTGATTACCCTCTAAATAGCACTGTTACATGAGAGAGGAGCACACAGTATAAATTAGTGCTCGAAATGGGGTTTGCAACACACATAATCATAACTTGGCGTTTCACCAAACTCATTTGTGAGCTGTTAGC